TGCTGACCACAGTTATCTCTCTCAAGGCTGGCCATAGCTATCTCTGTCAAGGCCGGGTAGCTGGCTATGGCTGTGAACTCCTGTTTTTCTGATTCCTGCAGAATGGCGTTTCTAAGGCCAAGTTATTGGGGGGGCATAACATCGGCCCAACGCCCCATATCCTCATAATGGAGCGGGGGTCTTTCAGGAGAAACCTAATAAAAGAAGGAAAATGTGTTAAGTTCAGGATCGAAGCCGGAAATGTGGCTCAGTGGTAGTCCCTGAATTTGATTCCAAGCACTTCAAACCACAACAAAAACCTAAAATAATTAAAGAAGGGGTTTTGAGTAGATGAGTGGTTGGTATAGCAGAAGAAAAATGGAATGGACATAGATGAATAAAGTTTATAATAGGAATATATAGTACTTACCATTTGGTCATTCCTGTTTTCTTCAAGAAGCATAGAGCCAGGGTCCTATTCTGGGTTGGCAGAGAAGAGCAGACAGCCCTTTCAATTTTACAGGGAATGATGAGGAAGAGGTTTTAGGAGAGAAGAGAAGGAGGTTACACAGTGTTTTGCAGAGTGAGAAAGCAGATTTATTAGAGAAATATGTTTTTGTCTGGCAGTTGTTGATTATAAAACTTGGGGATAGAAGTATCACTACTCATTTGATGGTAGGGAATAAGTTTGTTTTAATTTATGTTTATTTATTATTGTATTGCATGTGCCACAATTATGTCAATTTAAAAGTATTGAGAAAATTTTTGTCTGGTGCATAATTGACTGAGTATATTAGCAGAGAGTGAGCCGTGAGTCATGCAAGTAAGGTAAGGAGAGTGTGGAGAGTGAGAACTCTACAGCAGGTCAAGAAAAGTAACTATAGAGGACCATTTCAATGTCAAAGATTGTGTAGAAACCCAAGTGTTGGAGGAGGAGGGACAGCCAGGCACCCTAGAAGTTTGCGAGGTGGACACTGCAACAAAAAGACATTAGCAGAATCACTTTCAGCAGAGGGCTGGGAGGAAGCTTAGGTCTGGCGGCTAAGAAATGAAGAGTGAGTCAGTGCGTACAGACTCTTCTACTTGACTGAAAAAGAAAAGAAGCAAGATAAAGTAAGTAGAGAGAGCTAGAAAGTGCAGGGAAAGCCAGGCATCCTGTCCTTTCTTCAAGGTGTGTCTCTAATACCCAGCCCACTGTGTACATTAAAAAGGCATTTAGTAACTATTTGAGTGAGGGAAGAGGACTCCAGCATTTTGTTTTGTTTTGTTTTGTGTGGGGATTGGGAGGACCAGGTCAGCTGCTCTCGTGGTAGCAAGGGAAAGCCTGTAAGAACAAGAGAGAGGGATCATTGACACAAGTTCTTAAGACAGCAGAAAGCTTATGAATGGGGTTTTATCATCTTTTCTTTCCCAGGAGACATTAAGGATCCATGAGTGAACTGGGAAATACTTGTTAAGTTGGAGTGCCCAAAGGCCTCGGTCTGAGTTCCTACCCCCAGTCTCCCCTCTGCGTGGTGCTCTCTTGTTTTTCTGAAGAACATGCCACTTTGAGTAGCATCAGATTATACTTTTATTCTTATTTTGCATCTTTGAGTTCTTTATAATGGCAGCACAGCTTTCCTACAGTATAATGATACATATTTCTCATTTTAGATTCGCCTCCCACCTGAAGTAAATCGGATTTTGTATATAAGGAATTTGCCATACAAAATCACAGCGGAAGAAATGTATGATATATTTGGAAAATATGGGCCTATTCGTCAAATCAGAGTGTAAGTCGTACTGAGACTTGAAATGTCACTTACAGGAAATGGTTGCCTAGTCCATAATCTCAGAATTGTGGCTGGCAGCAGAACTGTGCTGTGTGGTGTGTATATGTCTGTTTCACAGTGAGACTACCAAGCTTTTAAGTAAAAGCACCTTTCTAGTACCCTGTAATGTTTAGTGATAAAATCTTCTAACCCTGAACTGAACAGTTAAACTATCTATACAGAACCTGAACTTGTGCCATTTAAGGGTTCCTCTGAAAGAATCTCTAAAGCTTTTATTTTTTAGTTTCAATATTTCTTTTTAGGGAGCACCTTGGGTAGGCCCTGTTGGTTTGGACCCAGGGCCCTGTACATGCTGGGTAGGCACTATACCTCTGAGCTATAGACCCAACCCCACTATATTTTTTATAAGTTTTCTGTAATGAGCATGGTGGTACAATGCCTATAAACTCAGCACTTCAGAGGTGGAGTCAAGAGTTCAAGGTCGTTTTCATCAATACAGTGATTTTGAGGTCAGTCTGGACTTCTTAAGACCCTACCTCAAACAAAACAAGCAAAAAAAAAAAATTCTTTTTATAATCTGAGAACCCCTTCCTGGCCTTTAGGACCTTTGAGGCTGAGGACTTTGCTTTTGAATGCTCTCCATCTCTCCTAGGATAAACTGATTACTAGAAACACGTTATCATTAATACCCAAATGAAGACAAAAGTACTGTAGACCAGCTGCTCTTAGAGGTCTCGGTCCTTTGAGCAGCAGCTAAGAGCTTTGAACTTCTACAGGATATATTTTGTCTGTATTTTGAGGATGTGAGGACTCCAGGTCCTTCCAAGTACCAAGAATCAGGAATCAGGGAACAAAAGTGTCTACCATTTGGCAAGTTGCCGGGCTTGTTGGGTTTTCTTCATCTGTAAAATAATCTGGATGGTGGTGGTGGTTGTTCTTGTTTTGTTTTAAGACAGAGTTTCTCTGTGTAGCCCTGGCTGTCCTGTAACTCACTCTGTAGACCAGGCTGACCTCGAACTCACAGACTGCCTCGGAGTTCTGGGATTAAAGGTGTGCACCAGCACTGCCAGGTTCTTAATGTGGAGGCAGTGTGATAAAATGACCGGATTGGTTGTTAGACCTGGGTTCAGATACTAACAGCACTTTCAAGTTCAGTGAAACTGGGCAGAATGTTTCCTCTATCTAGGCTTCAGTTCTCTGTGGGAGACTTAGCTTGGATGGAATTACGAAGTCTGCATATATCAGAGTTGCCAGCTTTGCAGTGTGTATTGGTCACCAGTCCCCGTAAAACACCAGTTGCCACTGAGCTTTCTCTGTCCATCCCTTAGTTACTATGACTTAGTAACTAAGTTTCTTAGTAGTTAATACGTGGTTGTGCTATTGCCCATGAACTCACCTGTCTTTCTCTGTAGGGTGAGTGCCTCCAGGCTATGTGCTGATAGCATTTGCGCCTGATTCATAGTAACCACCCATATATATGTGTGTGTGTGTATGTGTATATGTATATACACATGTGTGTGTGTGTGTATATATATATATATATATATATATATATATATATATGCGCAAATGAATAGGGCTGGGGATACAGCTCAGTAGTAGAGGGTGCAACAGCTGAGTTCAATCCCCAATGCCATAAAAAGAAAATAAATGAATAAAATAGTAGTATGGCTATGACTAATACATGATGGCATTATAAAACTTACTGATACTTAGTTGAGAGATGGTTAAATCAAAGTCTGAGAATGTTGCTGAAATGCAACAGAAGAACGGGTCATGGGGAAGACACCTGTAATGAGAGCCACTTTGGAGTCTGAGGCACAAAGATTGCAAGTTTGAGGCCAGTCTGGGCAGTACAGTGTGGTAAATAAAAGTAGCTGGTGATGCAGCTTGGTGGTGCTCGAGAGCAACCCAAGGGTGAGCAGGACCACAGTAGCTTGGGGCCTCTGCTTCCACGCTTTTCCCTGGCTGCTTGTCACAGCCCTGTCACTGAGTTCGAGGCCAGCCTAGGCTGCATATGGAGATCCTGTCTGGAAGAAAAGAAAACAACTTACCTCTGCCCTTAAGGAAATACAGACTCTTTCCCCCCCTTTGGGCAGTTCTCAACTTCCATACCTAAAACAATCCTGAAAATGATTAAACTGTTAATAGTTATTAATACTACACCAAGAGAATAAAAATTATAAAATCCCTCCTCAGGTGGGACATGGTAATGCACTGGAGACTGAGGCAGGAAGATTACAAGTTGAAGGCAGGCCAGCCTAGACCACGTAGGGAGCCCTTGTCTAAAACAAACAAACATGCCCCGTTGTCAGACCCAGGCAATGTAACAGAATGAGTTCATTCATTTGCACTGGCACAATTCATTTGCACTATCACACCATCACCTGTAATCTTTTCTTTCCCTTCTGTAGGAACATGCCTCTGAGCAGGGCTTAGATTGGAGTGTGGGGCGAGGCTAGAGTAGGGGTTATAGTTTTGAGACATGGTCTCACTGTGTCTCACAGCCATCTACAACACATGATGCTGACTCCCTGTCAGGGCTTCTCTGTGTAACAGATCTGGCTAACCTGGAACTCACTCTGTAGACCAGGTTGGCCTCGAACTCACAGAGATCCACCTGCCTCTGCCTCCCTCTGAGGGCCGGGATTAAAGGCATGCGCCACAGCTAGTTCACTTCCAAACACATTCATTTACAAAATTACAGGCTTGCTGGGCAGTGGTGGCGCACGCCTTTAATCCCGGCACTCAGAGGCAGAGGCAGAGGCAGAGGCAGGTGGATTTCTGAGTTGAGGCCAGCCTGGTCTACAGAGTGAGTTCCAGGACAGCCAGGGCTACACAGAGAAACACCTTACATTGAAAAACAAACAAACATAAAATGCTCATTTAGCATATTTATTCATAATGTTGGTTCCCTCTGGTATTTTTCAGGTAAGTTTCAAATTACTTAAATAAAGCATATTTCTGTTTATTGTCTCCAAACAATTGTATAAGGCTGCAGGGTAGAGTCAGTGGTAGAATAGAAGGCTTGAATATATAGTTTGTATTTTTAAGAATACAGTGCCAGGCTGGGCAGTGGTGGCGCACGCCTTTAATACCAGCACTCCGTGCCAAAGCAGACAAGGTGCAGGTACAGGATCAGAAAGACTGAAAATTGTCGATGCTTGGGTAAATGTGTCTTCTAACTGTTCTGCAGAGGGAATACACCCGAGACCAGAGGAACAGCCTACGTGGTCTATGAAGACATCTTTGATGCTAAGAATGCATGCGACCATCTATCTGGATTCAACGTGTGTAACAGATACCTCGTGGTGTTGTATTATAATGCTAATCGGGTGAGTGGCTCTGGCTCTGGGAAGTGTGTGGTGGGTGTTAGTGTTACTGGTGAGCTCCCTCCTTTGGCTGTGGTCAGTCCCCGTCAACTGTGGTGCTTGTCACACTTGCAGGCATTCCAGAAGATGGACACCAAGAAGAAGGAGGAGCAGCTGAAGCTTCTCAAGGAGAAGTATGGCATCAACACAGACCCCCCCAAATGAGTTCTCGGACTTCACTCTGAAGCTGTCCATGCAGGGTCCCCAGCCACCATTTTCTTCTTAGTTAGCATGACTTGTTTAAAATTTTTCTAAGCGTTAGAATATATTATGTTAATAAACCTGTAGCTTTTGTAAAACCTGTCAGTGTTTTCTCTTTTGGGGGATGGGGGTTTCGAGACAGTGTTTTCTCTTAAACTTCCTACTCCTGTTTAATACCAGGAAGAAATACAAAGCAGGAGAACCACGTGCAGGATTGTAGGTGAGCCTAGGGACTGAGGGCCTTGAGAAGAGTGGTTTGGGGGTTTTGTTGTTTATATTTATTTGTTGTGTGTGTATATGTATGCAGACGTGTTCATGTAGCAATCAGAAAACTGGGAGGAGCTGAGCTCTTCCACCACGTGGGGCGTGGAGACTGAACTGAAGCTTGAGAGCAAATGCCTTCACCAAATCCTGAGCCATCAAAGGAACGTGTAGACTTGTCTTGTTTTGATTTTGTTTTTTTGTTTTGTTTTGTTTTTTGAGACAGGGTCTCTCCATGTAGACCAGGCTGGCCTCCAAATCACAGAGATCCTCCCGCCTTGGTCTCCCAAGTGCTGGGATTAAAGGTGTGTGCCGCCACACCCAGCCCAGACTTGTCATTTTTTTTTTTTGGTTTTTCAAGACAGGGTTTCTCTGTGTAGCTTTGCGCCTTTCCTGGGACTCACTTGGTAGCCCAGGCTGGCCTCGAACTCACAGAGATCCGCCTGCCTCTGCCTCCTGAGTGCTGGAATTAAAGGTGTGCGCCGCCACACCCAGCCCAGACTTGTCATTTTTAACCCAATGAGGTAACATGAGGACACCAAAGCTCATGATGTGTAGTGCACACCTGTAATCCCAGCACTTGGGACGCTGAGGCAGGAGGATCACCATGAGTTTGAGACGGTCCTAGGCTATGGAGTAAATTCTGGGCTAGTCTCAGCCTGGATTACAGAGTAAGACTGTCTCAAAAGACAGGCACAGACAAGAGTGGACTGGCACAAGAGCTACAAAGAGCCAGACACCTGCCAGTGGGCAGCCTTGTCCTTACAGCAGAGGTCTGGAGAGGCGGTGGTTCAGAGGGCAGCATGTTGGTAGAAACTTGAGAGCACTGCCTAGAGTGGTACCATTACCGGGCCAAGATTGAACTTACATAGATTTCCTTCTCATTATTAACTGTATATATTTTGGGCTTAGCTCACAATATGTCTTTGCCATAAATAAAATGCTTAATCTTAGGAGTTTCCATGACATGGGGAGAGTGTAAAAATTGTCACATTCACTGTGGCTTGGCAGCTTGGGGGAAGACGGCTATAAATTTTCTTTTTATAGTTCAGGCTCAGGCCAAATGGAGAAGTGTGGACTGATTGTTTGGTAAACCCAGAACCTAGAATCACTTTGAAGGCTACATAGACTGACTAGTATTAATGGACAAAGATATCCTGCTTTTAAATGCATTTAAAGTCTGTCATTACTTTGTAGAAAATAGGCTACCTTCTAGTTTTTGTGCTGTCTTTTCAAAGCTCACTCAGGAATGATGTATTATGTCTGAGTGGTTTTTGAAAGCACTGTAAAAGAATGAAAGGCCTTTTTTGTTGTGTTTTTTTTTTTTTTTTTTTTTTTTTTTTTTTGAGACGAGGTCTCTGTGTAATAGCCATGGCTGTCTGGGAACCCACTACATAGACCAGGCTGGCCTAGAACTCAGAGACCTGTCTGCCTCTCTCTACCTTCTGAGTGCTGAGATTAAAGGTGTGTGCCAGCATAGGCAGCAAAAAGCCATTTCTAAGAAGGGCGGGCAGATAAAAAGGCCATAGCTGTACTTACAAGTGCCTTTATGATTTCCTTATTAATTCCATAATGCATGCTGTGGCTTAGGTGTTTGCAGATGTAAAAGGTGTTCTGAAAGACCCCTTTGTCAGGGGAAAACCAAAATCAGACTGACTTGAGAGTGATGTCTTCACGTGGCAGGCCAGCTCACCTCTAATGGTGTTAATGACCAGGAAAATTCCTTCTATAGCACTTGTGAACACTGTCAATTGGATTATGTGTCTGTTAGCTGAATTTCATGACCCAGAATTAAGAGTTTTAAAACTAGGGCTGAGCCGGGCAGTGGTGGCACACGCCTTTAATCCCAGCACTCAGGAGGCAGAGGCAGGTGGATCTCTGTGAGTTTGAGGCCAGCCTAGTCTCCAAAGCGAGTTCCAGGAAAGGTGCAAAGCTACACAGAGAAACTCTGTCTCAAAAACAAAAACAAACCAAGAAAAAACTAGGGCTGGGGGTATAGCTCAATGAGAGAGGGCTTTCTGAGCCAGGGGCTGGGTTTGGCCCCAGCACTACAGAAAACAAATTCCCTTGTGACTGTTTGGAATTCTGTAATTTAGATACAAGAACTTAGACTGGGACAGACACTCAGGCGCTCTGCAGGAGGTACGTGGTTAAATCTGAGGCTTCAGTTGGCTTCTGCACCTGGCACCTAAAGTTCAATTTTTTTAAACCAAGTTTAAGAGTGTAAGGGATGGCCGTGCGGTAGTGGCGGCGGCGCACACCTTTAATCCCAGCATTCAGGAGGCAGAGGCAGGCCGATCTATGTGAATTTGAGGCCAGCCTGGTCTACAGAGTGAGTTCCAGGACAGGCTCCAAAGCTACACAGAGAAAACCTGTCTTGAAATCCCCCTCCCCCAAAAGGAGTATAAAGGACGAAGTTGGATATGGTGACTCATATTTCAAGCACTTGAGAAGCAGAGGCAGGAGAGTCATACATTTGAGGCCAGCCTAGGCTGCCAGGTGAACTCTTGTCTCAAAGGACAGAAAGTGCAATGGACAGATTTTGCCCACATAGTCTCCTGTGTAGATTTGTCCAACTTGCTTTACTTCCAGTGAGGCTGAGTCTCAGGGTTCTAACAACTTATGAGAATCATTGAGTAGCAGTTTGAAAACAAGTGATAGGATCTTTTTTTTTTTTTTTTGAAGATTATTCACTTATTATGTATACAGTGTTCTGTCTGCATGTACCCCTGCCCGCCAGAACAGGGCACCAGATCTCATTATAGATGGTTGTGAGCCACCATGTGGTTGCTGGGAATTGAACTCAGGACCTCTGGAAAAGCAGCCAGTGCTCTTAACCGCTGAGCCATCTCTCCTGCCCAAGTGATAGGATCTTACAACTGGTCTCTCGCTAACCAAACCTTTAGTGGCCCTCTCAAGACACTGAACTCTTTGGCATGTGCCGTAATTTTCGATATCATCTTCCAAAGACTTGAGAAAGCAGTCATTTCTCTGCTTACCTGTAAATTCTATGCATCCCTCCAGTGCTAGCCAATAGGTGTTTACATTAGTAGGGTTTCTTAGTAGCTGTTATTACAGTCCCTTGTCACCAGGCTGTACTAACTATGGACAGATCTTTTGTGTGGGCCCATGAAATAGTTTCTGGTGTCATTTTTGTCCATCCTGTTGAGGAAGCAGGATATTCCAGAGGCGGCACCCTGGAATGGGTACAGCATCCTTTGGCCACTGTGGTTCCACACACTGTGGGTGAATAAAAGCAAGGCAGCCCCGTTCCATTCATGGTTGCGTTCATGAACCCCTCAACCTCAGCAGAGGAATTCATTTGTGACTTCCGGGATATAAAGGTTATACAAAGTAGCCCAGATTGTGGCCCCATATCCTACATAGAACGCTACATGATGTATATCCGTGGATCTTTAATCCCAACACTTGGGAGACAAAGACAGATCTCTATGAGTTTGAGTTTAAGGCCAGCCTAGGCTACATAGTGAGATCCTGTCTCAAGTAAAAAAATAGATAAGCAAATAAATAAACCAGATAGATGGCTCCTGAGGATTAGCAGTCTAGGCTGTTCTCTGTTCTCCATAAGCGCCCATACACACGCACATGCAGGCACACACACCTACACTGTTCTCAGAAGTAACTTCGAGGTAAGCTAGAGTAAATCTAGATGTAAGTAAGAGGTGCCCATGAAAACGAGCCTCAGAACCACACGTTCTTTTCAAAAGTAACTTCCCAGAGCAGGTCAGGTTTCAAGCCTTAAACACATTCATTTGCTCAGACGCACTTTCTGGTGAGGGAGGGAAGCTCATCCCTCACTCCGCAAACCTGAGGTTGTGGGATCACCTAGGAGAGCAAAGCTCACTCAGGATTGCTAGGATGCCGGGTTAGTTACGCAGGGGACTCCAAGCTGGTGAGTTCAGTAGGGTAAGAGCTAATTTGCAAAGTGGCTTAGAGGGTTTGTGATCATTTTCTTTAAAAAGGAAAGCTAGGCTTGGGTGGTCTGCACCTGTATATCCCTGCAGTCAGGAGGCTGAAGGAGTTCTGGGTCAGCCGGGGCTCCGAGACGCTGTCTCAAAACAAAATAAGACGGAAAGGATACAGGACAAGGTCCAGCATTAACGGTTGGCTCGTGTAGCTATTCCTTACACTCTCTTAGCTGCTAGGAAGCCCCCTTTCACCCCTTTATCACCAAGGGCAGCGGCTTGTGTGTCATGAAAGAACTTCCCACAACACGATGGCCAGGAAGATGCCAAGCATGGAGCCTTTATTTTACACAGGTATTTCCAAAGAGGGAGCTGCTTAAGGTGAGCAGCCAACAGGAGAAAAATGACAGCAAAGGTAACTAACTGGCTCAAGTCCCTCCATGAAACCATGTACAGCGCATGTCTGAGCACCTTGTGTGTCTGGCTTAAGTGCAGGTAAGGCAATATAGGTTGTGCAAACAAGGTCTGTGTCCCCGGATCGGGAATGGCTACCACATGCATCACACAAAACGCACAACCTGAAATGTCTGGATCTGTCACTAAATTTCCTCAAGCAAAGATGTATGGGAACAATCAAATGGCGGACACACACAGAGCAGGGCGGGCGGGCGGGAAGAACGGATAGTGTCGAGGGGCAGTGACGTCAGCACACTGATCAAGAGCCCTCCCTAGGAGGGGCCGTCCCAGTGGCGGAGCAGGCTAGGACAGAGAGCGGGAGCCGTCTCCAGCCACCTCGAGGTCCTTCCTGCCTTCATTCTAAGTTGAGCAGCTCCACGTCAAAGATGAGGGTGGCATTGGGAGGGATGACTCCAGGGTGGCCAGTAGCTCCGTATGCCACATCAGGGGTGCAGGTCAGCTTCGCCCTCTGCCCCAAGCTCATCTAGCAGGGATGGGGGGCAGATGGGAGAGGAGAAAGAGGACCCAGCTTGATTTAAAAGAGAAAAGGAAGGTGACGATGGCATTTTTCCCAAGCCATACTTAGGGCAATTCCAGATCTGAGATTAATTTTATACGTGGCACACTAAAGTCCGGTTGAAAGCTTAAACATGCAGATTCTGCCTCAAAATCAACTCGCCTATGGGGCAGTTAACAGCCACAAAGTAGTCTCAGATTCATTCAAGCATCAGACATTACTGGTTATCCAGCTAGTGCCCGGCCCGAACACTTGTGTCTGCTCATGATTGTTCCTGGTCCTCTTCCGAAGTAGTCAAAGAGGAATGTATAAACAGCTTTGAACACACTTGTAACAGGATCAGTTAAGATTCAGCAACTAAAGGCCACGGCATGGCGGCAAAGGAGTGGAGCATCCCTTGATTTCCCCAGCAAACTGAGGGAGGAGAGCTGGGACCACAGCACTGTCAACCCCGCCCCAGGAACTGTTTCAAATGTTTCAAACATTTCCAAAAATTTGAGTGGACTGGTTAGTATTGTATCGATGTTAATGCTTTAGGTGAATCACTGTAGTGTGGTTATACGTGTTAGCATTTGAAGAAGCTGGGTGAAAAATTATATAGCGGCTCTACTATTTCTGTACTATTTTTTATATCTGAAATAGCTTCAAAAACGTTTAAAGGTAAAAAAACCAAAGCACTCCTTGGCTTATCCATCTCTAGCTCCTCTGCTGTCTCAGCTCACTCAACTCAGCTTGTTGGCCTTTTCAGGCCGCTCAAGCAAGCCTAGGCGAGATGCTTGGGATGAGATACAGATGTGCCAGCCACAGAAGAGGCGACGGGCAGAACCAGGAGTGAGCACTAGGTGGCGTTGCTGCACCCGGACCGTAGTAGAGTCCTGGCAGTGTGAGTCTGTGCTAGGGTGAGCGGGAAAGTGGAGGACCCAAATCCACCACTCCTTAAAGACCCCTTTAGTGAGCATCCTCAGCCTCCCTGAAACCGTTAGTGAGCATCCTCAGCCTACCTGGGCAGCACCTTCTTCAAAACCTTTGATGACTTCCTGTTTGCCAATTCTGAACTTGAAAGGTTTGTTTCTGTCTCTGGATGAATCGAATTTCTTGCCATTCTGGAGCATTCCTGGCGAAGTGAGAAGAGGGTAGAAAAGAGCTGTGGTTTTGAGTGAACCAACAGTTGGACTCAGCATGTCTAAACGGAATTCCTCTTCCGAGGGAACCCTCTCCTCTTTGATCTCCCCATCGGCAGGAAACCTGGACCCATCTCTCCGCCTCACCCCCACATGCAGCCTGTCACCGAGTCCTACATCTCCTTGGAATCCACCTACCTTTCTAATTTCTGCTACTCCACCACTCTGGTCTCCAGAGCCACCACCAGCACATCTGGAGACAGGAACAGCCTCCCAAACGATGTTACTACTCACCAATCTTCCACTCGCTACATCCACAGATTTTTTCCCCCCTTTAAACACAATTTCTGATCACATTTACTTTTCCCTGCTTAGAACACAATAGCTCCCAGAGCAAAATCCAAAAGCCTGAGGCTAATGATGCCTCCCTTCAAGTTCTCTCTCTCTCCCTCTCTGCTCCTCTCCCTGCCTATTCAGAGCACACCATTCTCAAGTTCCTCTACGCCTTCTAAACTTTTCATGCTATATCCTCGGGCATTCTGGTCTCAGGTTCAGTCCTTTCCTACGGTTCTAAGTGCTTCCAGAGAATGCAAAGCCAAAGATCACACCATCCCATCATCCCCTGCTCCAGTGAAAAGGGTGAGGCGACTCAGGCACCCTAGTAGCTTCCGGCTCACGGGCAAACAGTTGTTTGATCCTGGAACCCCCAGGTGTGATCTCGGGCAGTTTGTACCATCCTTTACCTTCTCACTGCCAGGAGTCCAGTCCTCCCTGACACCCACATGTTGTCGCTGTCCATCAGCCCAAGGACCCAGAGCTACTGCACTGTCTCCATTGCTTATGGCACTCCTGCTCAAAGACCAGCGTGTCTTCTTAAGTTTTCATTTTAGTTTACACGTATAGGTGTTTGCCCGGGCAGCCTTTAAGTGCCTGCTGCCCTTGGAGGCTAGAAAATGGAACTAGAGTTACAGATGGATGTGAGCCACCGTGTAAGTCCTGAGAATTGAACCCAGGTCCTCTGGAAGAGCAGCAGGTGCTCTTAACCGCTGAGCCAGCTCTCCAGCCCCAGACTTGATTTTACCATGCTAGTCCAAGATTTCTTTTTTCTTTCTTTCTCTCTTTCTTTTCTTTTTTGGTTTTTCGAGACAGGGTTTCTCTGTGTAGTTTTGCACCTTTCCTGGAACTAGCTTTCTAGACCAGGCTGGCCTCGAACTTACAGAGATACACCTGCCTCTGCCTCCCGAGTGCTGGGATTAAAGGCATGCGCCACCACCGCCTGGCTAGTCCAAGATTTGTAGGTGCTAAACCACCACATACGATAATGTGGGATCACAGGAAGACATGGCCTGTTAAGTTCAGAAATGGAGTTCTTATTATTTTGAGATTTTGTTTTATTTCAACCGGGTCTTATTCTGTAGCCCAGGCTGGCCTGGAGCTCAATATGTAGCCCTAGCTGGCCTCGAAATGCTGAATCTCAGGTGTTAGTCACCACACCAAGTTGAGACAAGGTTTTTAGTTGAGTCAGGCACTGACTCACTGTGTGATATTGGGGAAATGGGCCTCATATTTTCCATTTAACATAGGAGGCTTTTCCAGCTTACAAGTGCCTGAGCATCTATAATTTTACTTTTGAATTCCTACAACTCGAATGTGTACTAGAGAGTCCTATTTACCTCCCTTCTGGGTAGACTAGGTTGGGCTCCTGCCCTGAGTTCTAAATGTGGCGAAGGAGAAACCCTTCTGGCTGCCCAGAGATGCACACAGATGGATGCTACAGAGATCAAACACAAATACATGGAGATACATAGTTGCTAGGATATTCAAATTCACAGAGATACTTATGCATGCTCACATGCACTCACACACAGACACTCAGGAGAGAGGCCCTGATGGCCAAGCAGATGCTGAGAAAATATTTAGATCGGCAGACCTACATATATTCATACAGACATGCACTTGGGCAAATACGCGCTTGAATATGCACACATGCACAGTCCATTTATAGACTAGCTTTCCCATTTCCCCAATGCCTTCAGGTTTCATAAAGCTGAATCTATTTGGAACCATGTAACAGTTATCTGTTGCTGTGAGCTCAGCCAAAGCCACATAATCCAAACACGGGCCCACATAAATATGTGTACTTCTTTTACAAAGATGCCACTATAATACATCAAATAAAGGATGACTTTTGGGATTAACATTGCTCGATCAAATCTCTATCCACATGGGGAAAAAGAATTGAATCCAGCCTCTACCACCTCTACACACAAAAACCAATTCCAGATGAACCAAAGTCCTAAATATGAAAGATAAAATAATAATAACCTCAGGCTTCGGATGTAGGGATGTGGTATGGTGGTGGAGTAATTCACTGTATGTACAAAGATCTCGCTTTGGTTCTTAACACCACAAATACTACTAACTCATGGTTTCTACAGAGCAGTGGGGCACCATGGTGCTCAATTGTAATCCCAACACTCAGGTGGAGTCAGGAGGATCAGGAATTCAAGCCTTGATTACAGACAAATTCAGGGCCAACCTGAATCACATGGGATCCTGTCTCAACTCTCTAAATAAATAAATAAATAAATAAGAAAAGAAAAACACACACCACCACCAACAGCATTTTTACCAGATGATAAACATATGAATAAATGAAATCTTCATAATATAGTAAAAGATTTCTTGAAGTGAATATAGAAAAATATGTAACCATGAAGGAGAAGACTGATAAGCATGACATCATAAAAATTAAGAACTTCCGCCCAAGAGATACTATTGAAAGATTAATGACAGGGCTGGAGAGACGGCTCAGGGACTAAGAGCCCTGGCTGCTCGTGCAGAGGTCCTGGGTTCAATTCCCAGCACTCACACAGCAGCTCACAACTGTCTGCAATTTTCAGTTTTCAGAGGATTCAGTGTCCTCGTTCGGCCTCTACAGGCACCAGACACACAAGCTCACCATGTAGCCAAGGTTCGCCTTGAGCTTTTGATCTTGTCCCCACTTCCCAAGTGTGGGTATTATAGGTGTGGGCCACCAGGGCCAGCTTATATTCCTTTTTTTTTTTTTAAGTTTACCAGAAGTTTCATACAGACTGTGTTTGCTGAGACAGTTTCTCTCAAAGCAGAGCCATTTGATGAAAGTGTTCCATGCACACTGCCTACTCCACGTATCTACTTTGCAAAAGGACATTTGGTTTCATTAACTTGATCAGCAATGATCTGTCTACAACATGTCGAACAGATAAATCAATTACCCTGGTCAGAGGCTCCAGAGGCCCCAGGGTAATTAGGCCACATCACCAGGAGATAAAACAGCCCGGGTGTGCTGACATCAGTGACTGGAGACTCAACTGTTGAAAAACAGCCACGTCATCTGCTAGAACCAGTCTGGTGCTTCGCACTGGCCTTGGGAACTGCTAAAAATGGCCCCATCTGAATATGTCCCAGGAATTAAGCTGGCCTTGCTGTATGCTAAGTGGCTGTCACCCATAGACTTTGCCACATTAGGAAGCGAGTCACAAGGCAGAGTCCTCACACCTCTTGGAGCAAACACCTGCCAGCGGTCTTCTTGCCAGCAAGAAGTTCCTAAGGAACTCATCTAGAATGTTCCTGAGGGTGGGGAAGGAGGAGCACTTGTTGCTTTTCCAAAGCATCCAAGTTCAGTTCCCAGCACCCACAGGGTGGATCACAAACATCCATAACTCCAGTACCAGGGGGTCTGACACCTTCTTACCTCCAGGGGTACCAGGCACACATGTGGCACACACACATGCATGCAGCCCAAACACCCATACACATAAAATAAGATAAATGAATATAGAATGCCCCTTGGTCCGTGGGTCTTCAAACACGCAGCATCCGAGAGGAGACAACAGAGATGTCGCACCCTCCTCTGGATTCTCCCAGCACCCAGAGACAGCATTGCCCCACCCTAATCCCCCTCACTGCAGTGGAGTGGAGAGGTGTGGACAAAAGAAGAAAAACAGGGTAAAGGGGGATCTGAGGGTCTTTCAGAATAAGTTTGAAACATCAGACAGGAGCAGGAAGGCCAGGATCCCCCCTGCCCACCATCGGGGAATGAAACTGGAGGCTGGCACCATAGATGGTCTTGGTGGGTAAGGGGAAAGTGAAACTGGTCACAGGAAACAGCCTTGGTCTTTGAGGATCATCCAGGGACAAGACTCACTGGGGAGAAGCTTACAGGATAGCCCTGCCTTGGGAGAGGCAGGCCTGGGCCAGGGCTGAGGGAGTAAGACGTACCTGTGTAGTGCACCACACATATCTGACCCTTCTTGGGGAATGTCCTTCCTGTCGGGAGATATGAAGGCAGAAAAGGGATTAGGGAATTAGAAAAACTCACCTGACACATCCAAGATTGATTACGACCCTGATGGACTCACTTTTCCCTTATTATCACAGAGATGCCTGTCTGTGTGCCTTGGATGAGCCAGAAGTAATAATGTCTCCTTTCTGGTTTATATTTGAACTCTATTATTGGTCCAGTTTACTAGTTTAAAAAAAAAAACTCCATCACTTTTTATTGCTTCTTTTACTTTCATCTATTCTACAAGCATCTATTCCTGAATAGCCAACTATGTGCCAGACCTGAAGTAGATTCCAGAGACAGAGAGCAATGTATGAACTCATGAAGAAGAGAAGCAGAAACATAAATCCCAAAGTGCTATGGAGTCATGATTACCATCAAGGATGAATAAATGCAATCATTCACAAGAAATCGATAATGGCCAGACCAGTGCCTCATGCCGGAGTTACACGCAGAGAACAATAAAGACAGGCTCCCTGGTCTTCTGAGGTTTATAGTCTTTCTTTTGTGTATGTGGGATGGTCATGTGTGGTGGGGTGTTGTGTGTGTGTGTGTGTGTGTGTGTGTGTGTGTGTGTTGCATGCATTTGTGTACACAGGTGCACAAGTCCATGAGATGAGCTTGCAAGCAAGAGGCCAGACAAAGATGTAGAGTGCCTTCCTCAATCCCCCTCCAACTTATTTCCCTGAGATCCAGTCACTGAGCCAGAAGCAATGCCACGGAGCTCCCAGGACCTGCCTGCCTCTTCTCCCAGTGCTGGAGTTTCAGGCAGTCACACCCAGCTTTTTCAGATGAGTGATGGAGATTCAAACTCAGGTCTTCACGTTGGTATAGCTAGAGCTCTTACCCACTGAGCCATGTCCCCAGTTTCCACTCTAAAGGTGGGAGACAACCAATGCTCTCGTAAATAAGGATAGATGGCCATAAGCCCTCTAAAGAAAAACGAACACACTGATGAATTGCAGAGAGACGTGGTGAACCAGCAGTTTCAGAAAGGGCGTGCCAGGAAGGCATTTTGGAGAAGGGAATTTGGAAGGCATTTTGAGCTGGTACTTTCGGAAGGGATCAACTCAAAGACCACACGTGCAGCAGGAAGGGACTGCTGTATTTTCAGGATAGGAGGGAACAGAGGAATGTGAAAGAGACAGCGCCACACAGCTTGCAGAGATGGATTTAATACTAAGCGCAGTAGGAAAACCACTGAAGGGTTTAAAAGCAGGAGAATGACCTAATCTGAATTAAGATTTTATAAGATCACTCTGGCTGCTGCGTGTGGGATGGGTGGTTAGACATCTGTTGCGATAATCTAGACAAGAAATCAATGATGGTATGAATTAAGGTTGTGGCCTCTGAGGAGAGAGTGAAATAGACTGGAGATGTATTGGGGAAGCAGGGTTGATGAGGGCATCTAAGTGGAATGGAGACAGGACCCGCCACCCATCTCACCGCTGGATGAGGAAAACAAGAACGATGCTTGAATTTGGGGTTTGGGTAGCTGGAAGGTGGTAGAGCTGTTTTTGGAGATGAGAAAACTGAAAAGGAACAGATTTGTGCGGGTGGCAATCTCGAGCTGCCTATTAGACATGCAAGTTTTTACTGCAAGAAGGTAGATGCAGAGCCGACGCTGAATAAACAAGTTGGGTGGAATATAAAGCCATGAGGCTGGATTAAGAGACCACCAAAGGGAGCCAGAGGAAGCATCGTGGGAAATAGTTAAATTGGATGGCAAAGGACGGGCAGGAGACTGTCTGGAGAAGTAAAGGGGTCTGGGAAATAGAATGACTTGTAAGACATGTTCAAACGCCTGGAATCCAGAGTTGGGATGTAGCTCAACGTAGAGCAGTTACCTAGCATGCAATAAGGCTCTGGGTCCCACCCAAAGCACAGAAAGCCTTAGGGTCCTAGAGTCCAGTTCCAGAGGAGCCCACTGATTTCCTCCTGTTACCCTGGGGTCCAGGTGCCGGGGTCCAGCACACAGTACATGTTCCATAAACAGTTGCTAAATAGGTTGTGTGTTTAACAAGTCGCAGGTGGCTTGGTGAAGCTGGTTGTGGGTGCAGAGGTTATAATGAAAGAGGATCTGCCAGTGTGGATCACTATAGCCCTCTCTATCACCAAAGGGGCAGATTGCTGGCAGAAATAGGGGGCAGCAGCTCCCAATCATTTTCGGCATGAGGAAGGGGCCTGTTGAGCTCTGCATTTGAAAAGGAGACAGGTGAAAAAAAAAAAAAAACACAAGAAAGTGGGGAGTGGAAGTCAAATGGAAGACAGAGAGCCAGCTCAGTGGCCCTGTGGGTGACGAGGCCTGGGACAGGCTTCCTCGACCCTAGCACCAAGATTCTTTGCATGGACAGAGAAACCTGTCCCCCAAGGAGTGATCTGGGCGGTCGCTGGTATTTCCAGGAACCCCTCGTTTTGCAACCAAGAAGCCTTTCCTGGGGAGGAATATGTCAATAATATCTAACAGCAGGTTTGCTTGTTAAAACGCTGTAGATCTGGGGTGCGGCTTTGGGTCTGGATTAGATTTTGTTTAGAAATAGCTACTCCTTGAATGTCTACACCCAGTTTTCTAAGTAGTTGAAAAAAACTCGCTGCTGGTTCTCTTGAGAGCAGACAGAGAACCCGGAGAAAGACTTGTGGGGCGAACAAAGTTAGGGAACATGTGTTCTGCTGTGGACTGGCTGACTAAGGAATCCTGGACTGTCGGGACAGGTCAAGATGCAGGTCTGAGGGCTGGATTTTGAGGTTTGACTCTGGAGGACATGGTAATGGGCAGATGACCAGGGAGGCTGAGTGGGACCAGCAGGGTGAAATAAGAAGCAAAAGCAGCCAAAGAAATGCCAGGCTCCCAAATTGGCTCTCTGTCTACAGCTTACCGCTGCCCAGCCCTGGGGGCCGCCAGACAAGAGGGCTGGGGAGGGTGGGGCGCGTTAGGAGGGGTTTCCCTGTGCAGCAGAGACCCCCTAAGCGGGTCCATTCCTGGTGTCGGACTGGGAAACCGGATCTGAAATTCGAACCTGGGAAGTCAGCAGCAGCAGATAATCCAGAGGTTGCAGCTAAAGCGGCATAAACCGCAGCTTCGGACAGTGGCCGGACGCAGACCCCTGTGGCCCCAAGGTGAGCGGGCGCAGAAGCGAGTGGTGGAGAATTGTCCTCCAGAACCCCCAAGAATCGGGGTGGGGGGGTGTCTCCTCCTGTTGTCCGCATCTAACCCCCTCACCCCCAACCCCGTTTTAGGTCCCCGGAGCCACCTCGGAATCAGACCTCTGCCCGCGGACTCCGCCCCGGGACCCCTCCTCCTCCTCCTCCCGGGCCCCGTCGCCCGGTACCGTCTCCCGGGGAGATGGTCTCGATCTCCACGCCCATCGCGGTCCCACAGGCCCCGCCTCCAGGGGGTCCTCGCGGCTGCCCCGACCCCGGCTCTGCTCAGGCCCGACCCCGCAGGCGCTCCGGCTCGCCTTCTCGCCGCCACTGCAGAGCCGGAGGAGGTGCGGCTGGAGTCAGGACCTGCGCGGGGAGGAGCCGCCGGGAAGGGGGCGGCGGGGTGGAGCCGCGCGACAAGGTGGGGTCGGCCGGGGCGGGGCCCGGGGGAAGCGACCCTGACGTGGCTGCTCCGGAGCCTGGCCAGACTAAGCACCATTAACCCAGTAGCCGAGGGAGGAGGGTGGCGAACGAGGCGTGCCGGCACTAGCGCATCCACGCTTCCATCCATCTGTCGGTTCCATGCATATTTATTTAGCACCTACTCGGTGCAAAGCTCCAGGGAGTCCGCTCAGTCCTACAGACTAGGAGGAGAAAGCTGGTAATTAAACTAACACTTTAAATACATGTGCTCAGTGCCGTGGGGTTTAGAGTACAGCGGAAGCACCCGAGACTGATACCTAACCCCGGCTAGGCTTCCCGAATCTCCTGGAGCAGAGCCGGGGAAGGGAAGAAACCAGCTCCTGATGATTTTTCCCCAGCCACCTTAAGCCCATACTCATTATCCCTCAAAGTTCTACGGCAGGTATTTGTATTGGGTGAAGGTGGGGGTGGGAGGTTCTCACTTTTCAAGGCAGAGGACTGCTCCCTGGAGATTCCAATTGAATCAAAAAGCAGGATCGCTGTGCTGCGGGTCCTAGCTGAGAATACAGCTACAGCCTGGAGTGTCGAGTGCTGCAGAAGGAACGAATGAATTCCTTTACCTCTATCCAAAACAGACAGGAATCTAGAAAGATACTTTAGTCCTTGCCGTATTATCCTCTGCCTCCGTGGTGCTGGGAATCGAACCCTGGGAAATCAGGGCCTCTTCACACACGCTAAGCTAATTGAGGCTACATCCACAGCCCATAGGAAGATATATCGGGAGGAGGTAGCATTTGCTTGAAGGCTGAAGGACACTTTAAGACTGTCTCCTTATCCTTCCTACACCGTTGCAAAAAAAAAATCGACATGTTGATTCTGACAAGAGACGCCTGGGAAGAGGTTAAGTAAGAGAGAAAGTCCTATTCAAAGGCCCAGAGTTGGAACGTGAGGCGTTTTCCGTGGTTTCTCCACTCCCCTCTTCCAGGTGGCGAAGTCGCAGATGCGGTTGTTAGCATCCATAAGAGGCCTGAAGTTGGCGCTCAGGAAAGATGGTGTAGGATACTGTGCGGGGTCGGGATCTGAAAAACCCCGCGGGCGTGGCCTAGAGTCTTCGTGGCTACAGAAGCTTGAGACCTCCAACCCTATTGGCTATGGCCTTGGGCAGGTACTTTTAGATTAGGGGTAGAACAGATCTGCCACTTGGGCAGGCCTAGGAAGCGGCTCCAGAGGAATGGGTGCTATTTACATTTTGGGAGCGATAGTTTATGGGATTTTAAATGGGAAGTCCCTGACTCCCCTCTCCCAAACTAAAACCGACTGACCCATGTTGACTCTAGGGCTCCGATTCCTTCTTACCAACCATCCTCTAAGAGAATGAATGAGACGTGCTTGGGAGAAGAGGTTGAAGCGCTTGAGACCGAGTGTGAGGATCTAACCGGGGGTGGTTTCACGGGAACTACAACTCCCAGAAACCCTTGCAGCAAAACCCTTGCGCTTACTGGCTAGTGGAAGGACCCGCCGCTAACGTGACGCACGCAATAGCCAATAGTAAAGAGGCATTGCCCAGCACCGAGGGCCGAGCCTTCCGTTCGTTGCCCGGGACTTCTGATCCGCGGTCCTGTGACGTGAGCGGCCCCCGGGATTTTTATGTGTGGGGCGGGGAGGCCAAGAGACCAAGGTATTTCGTGTCTTTTGCGGCCAGGCCTGGCGGGTGTAGGGAGGCTGGGGCTGGGCAGGGAGGTGGAGGCACTGGAGCTCAGGGATGCAGGCGTGGGGCGGAGTTGAGTTCCAGGCGACGGTGTGTACGGGGCAGTAGGTTGAGGACCGGGCTGGTGTGGTAAAACAAGTGAGTGTATCCTTTGGGACTCACGAATGATACTTCTGGTAATATAACCTAAAGAATATAGGCTTGCCGGGCGGCGGTGGCGCACGCCTTTAATCCCAGCACTCGGGAGGCAGAGGCAGGCGGGTCTCTGTGAGTTCGAGGCCAGCCTGGGCTACAGAGCGAGATCCAGGAAAGGTGCCAGAACTGCACAGAAAAACCCTTATTTATAATAAAGTCTACGGACTTTGAGGTGTCTCAGAAAACCGAACTGAGAAGTTTTATCACAAATCTCAGTAGCTGAGCTTTTTGTTAATTGCAGAAGGTTCTGTAACCGGTTAATCAGTTAAGGCGTAGCCAGAACGTTGTCTCTGTCCCACTTCTCTCATCCTTTTGAGGAGGCAGAAGAGGTTTTTGTTGTTGTTGTTCTGTTTTGGTCTGGCTTGGGCTTTTTTTTATTTGAGACGATAGCCATATCGTTTTGCAGCCTGTCCTAGTCTGAAATTCCTTGTTCAGACTGACCTCAGACTCTAGGCAGTGTGTGTGCCTCAGCATTTGTGCATGCACATGCACGTGCTTTGGGGTAGAGTTGGATTTCATAGGACGACTTTTGTGAATTGGTTCTGTCCTGCCGCTCCATGGGATCCCGGGATTGAACTCAGGTAGCAGGCTTGTGCACAAGCCCCTATTAACTGCTGGGCCATCTTGCTGGCTTTCAGTTTTATTGTTGTTTCGTTTTTAATGACGAGATTCTTTTTTTTTTTTTTTTTGGTTTTTCGAGACAGGGTTTCTCTGCATAGTTTTGCGCCTTTCCTGGAGCTCACTTGGTAGCCCAGGCTGGCCTCGAACTCACAGCGATCCGCCTGTCTCTGCCTCCCGAGTGCTGGGATTAAAGGCGTGCGCCACCACCGCCCGGCTCGACGAGATTCTTAAATGGGCTTTACTAACCTTATGTCAGTGACCCCCAAATCCTTCCCTTAGGGATGCCTAAGATCCATCATTGCTACCTTGGAGCCATCATACATCCTCGGCACCTCATAAATCCTGCCCCTTAGTAGTAATCTAAACACTCGGGCAGGAGGATAGGGATACATGAGACTGTATCAAAAATAAGTACACTGCACACTGCACACCTTCCTCATCTTTGAAGCATCTCTGCTTAATGGTTCAGCTGTTTCCCAAGCTGAGCGTTGTCATGCTGTCCCTTAAGTATTTTTCACCACTCATGTCCTATCTGATATCATTGTGTTTGCATCGGCTAGAGAATTATTGATGGGGTTGGGGGTGGGGGTGGTGTTGGAGGGCACAGGGACCATGGCAGTTGTGTTGAAAGTGATAGGATGGCTTTTGTGTGTTGTTTTTTCCCCTGGCACTTTGTGGAAGGCAGGACTTGAACTCAGGCCATCAGGCTTTAGAGGCAAACGCTTTTACCTGCTGAGCCATTTTGCTGACTCTTTGTTCACTTTAGTATTGTGGCATTCAGACTCTTTCATGCCCCCACCCCCTTTTGGGGACATGATCTCCCTACCTAACTCTGACTGGCCTGGAAATCACTATATAAACCAGGCTGGCCTCAAACTGCCTCTGCCTCCTTTAGGAGAAGGAGATCCAAGTTACACGGATATATTTGTAGCAAATAATACAAGCCCTTAATGTCTTGTCAATACCTTTTGAAAGAACTTTATTATTTTTAATTTTGGGGGAGGGTGCTAGGGATTGGACCCAGGGTTTTGAGCATTCGAGGCTGAAACTCTACCAACGACCCACATCCTCAAGTCCAGAAGGATTTTTTTTTTTATGCAGAAGATGTGTGTCCAGTCATCAAGTTTGTGAATAGAAGAGAAAAGTGATGTAAACAAAACCAGCTGGGCAGTGGTGGCACACGCTTTTAATCCCAGCACTCAGGAGGCAGAGCCAGGTGGATCTCTGTGAGTTTGAGGCCAGCCTAGTCTACCGAGCAAGATCTAGAACAGGCACCAAAACTACACAGAGAAACCCTGTCTCAAAAAACCAAAAATAAAAAACAAACAAAAAACCCAAAACCAAAATAATAATAATAATAATAATAATAATAATAATAATAATAATTCTGTCTAACAACACATAACACCCCAATTCTTCGAAAAGAAAAGACTGGAGTGAAAATGGTGTCTCTCCATTTCCCATGATGAAGAGGAAGAGATGATGAAGAGATCCTGTGTTAAGTTCAGGAAAAGGAAATAGAGCAGATGTTTGTGATGGTTAGTTTTATGCCAACTTTCTTCTTAAAGGAAGATGCACTAATTACTCATCTAAAAGCCTTCTATTACAACACCTGTCTTTCCATGGCCTGTGTTACTGTGTCCACACACACTATCAACGATGTTAGACCCAAGTCGGTGACTTAAAATACGTCATCTAAATTGTTTTTTATTTAGTTGGCCCATTAGGAAGTTTTCTGCCCAGGAAAATGTATCACGTGTTATTTATCAATAAAACTCTTAATTTTAAAAGGACATAAGTAGTTGCCAGAGGAGAACCACGTTATAGACCAGTCGAACAGAGGTTCCAGTTTTCACCGTTAGTAACGACAAGGGACTCATCTCCGTTTTGGAAGCCACTGTGGAGTCACTTCCCCTGACATCATGTATAAACGCAGAGCAGAGCATTCCTCCTTAGTCCAGGATCCTAAGAACAGACATGAAGCTGTAAGAGGATAAAGTTTACAGATAAGTTCATCACCGATGGCCGGGTTGTATGGTAGGGAATCTATTTCTTTGGATAGAGTCTGAAGACAACTTCAGCGTTCCTTCTTTGGCACTTTACCAATCATAAAATTGAGCAGTATCTATTAGGGGTGAAGACTGGAACAGCAATAGGAGCTTTGTGAGCGCCTCCTTACAGAAGGGGCTGGGACAGGAGCCCGGCCAGAGTGCTGAAGGAAGGGGTGTGCACTCTACCCCGACCCCAGCACATCTTCACTGATCCCTGGTTGGGAACCCGCCCGCTGGTGGGCGTGGGATATAGTCCACAGGTAGAGCAATTGCCTCGAACGTACAAGGTCCTGGGTTCCACCTTCAGTGGTGAACTAAAAGGTGGTTGCTATTCTTTGACTATTTAAAAGCTAAGATTTTTTTTAAGTCTTAAAATTCTTTATGAAATAAGTATATTTTTATATATTACTATTTTATGACTACAAGAAGGTAATTTGATTATTTCATGAGTACACGATTATTTAAAAAAAAACATTCCCCCTACATAAAGAAGTTGAAGGGTCCCACTTCGTCTCATATGCCACCCTATCTCAGTATCTACTGTGAACAGTTTACATATCATCCTGATCTTTTCCTGAGTCTTTATGGAAACATACATGCATGAATAGACATATCATGGTGCATATTTTTCCTAAATAGCATGTATTAGATGGGTTACCATATGAATTCTGCTCTTTGCGATTTCCCACTCACGGAAGTTCCTTTTCCTCCTTTTTGAGATCTTATCCACGCAGGGCTCAGACTTATGGGCTTAGGTGGTCTCCTGGCTCGGCCCCTTGAGCATCTGGGCCCACACAGGTGGGCAACACCCCTGCCTCCGATTGCCTAACACAGTGGTCCTCCACCTTCCTAATGCTGCCACCCTTCAATACAGTTCCTCATGTTGTGTGACCCTGACCATAACATTATTTTTGTTGCTACTTCATAACTGCAATTTTGCTACTGTTATGCATCATAATGTAAATATTTTTGGAGATACAGGTTTCTCAAAGGTGTCAAGATCTACAGGTTTAAAACCAACGGCCTAATCTGTTCCGTATTGACATACTCATTTTTTTCTTTTAGACTTCACACATGCTGGGCAAGCCCTCTCTCACAGATCATCCCTTCAAGGCCTGCACTTCCTGTTCTAGTTTCTTTTGTTGAGACTGGGTCTTATGTAGCCCAGGCTGGCCTTGCACTTGCTGTGTCCCTAAGGATGCCCCTTAACTCCTGATCCTCCTGCCTCCCACTCCAAGGCACTGAGAATATGGACCTGCACCTCGATGCTTAGCTAAAAACTTAATTTGCTTGTTTGCTTTGCTGGAACGTCGCAGGCAAATGCTCTTCTGAACTCCATACTTTCACTGGCCTTTTCCTTTTGCAGATTTTGCTGGTGTGAACATTTTTAGATGTGGCGGACTTATATTTAGATGTAAAATAGTCTTATATTTTGTAGACTTGCTATTCATTGTTTTATTCATTTAGGCCTTTAACTCATCCGGAGTTTATTTTGTTGTAAATTTTTTTAACTTTTTGGAGCTTTCAGCTTTATTATCTAAAATAAAAGTTATTCTCCCACTCAGCATGCTGGCGCGTGCCTTTAATCCCAGCACTCAGGAGGCAGAGGCAAGAGGATCTCTGTGAGTTCAAGGCCAGCCTGGGCTACAAAGCAAGTTCCAGGACATCCAGAGCTATATAATAGAAAGACCTCTCAAAAAAAAAAAATTATTCTCTCTCTCTTTCATAAGGTAGTGAAGAGTTGTATTGACTCCTGTCCAGTCGGCATCATGC